CACAGAATAATATATAATGCAACAAAAACCATCCGAACCAATCAATCAGAAACACAGCCCATGTCACCGGAAACATCCCCCCCAGCCCCATCCCCACACCCGGACACAGCCCACCCCCCACCCGGACACAGCCCATCCCCCCCACCTGACACAGCCCCCCCATCCCAGCCACCCCCACCTGGACACAGCCCATCCCCCCACCCGACACACATCCCCCACTCGCCCATCCCCCCCCCGGACACAGCCCATCCCCCACCTGACACAGCCCACCCCCACCCAGCCCCCATCCCCCACCCAGCCCATCCCCCACCCGGACACAGCCCATCCCCCCCCGGACCAGCCCATGACACAGCCCATCCCCCACCCGGACACAGCCCATCCCCCACCCGGACACAGCCCATCCCCACCCAAATCACAGCCCATCCCCCACCCGGACACAGCCCATCCCCCCCACCTGACACAGCCCACCCCCCACCCAAAACACAGCCCCCCCCACCTGACACAGCCCACCCCCCACCCGACCCCCCACCTGACACAGCCACCCCCACCCGAACACAGCCCATCCCCCACAGCCCCCCCACCCGGACACAGCCCATCCCCCACCCGGACACAGCCCATCCCCCACTCGGACACAGCCCATCCCCCCCACCTGACACAGCCCATCCCCCACCCGGACACAGCCCATCCCCCCACCTGACAGCCCATCGGGGAGAAACACAAGCCCATCCCCCCCACCTGACACAGACATAAAATGTTGGATTTCCTGTCCCCCCCCCCTGTTCAGCCTGACATCGGGGAGAGACATAAAATGTTGGATTTCCTGTCATGTTCTCTCTCAAGTACCAGTGATCTTCAGGACACATCGATGACAAATCTCCCCGGGATCTGCTGGAGGCCCGGGTTCTAGTGTAGTTCCGGGTTCTAGTGTAGTTCCGGGTCATCTATCCAGTGAGTAGTGTGGAAGGTTTACAACCATGAATGTCATCTTCAGCCCATCCCCCACTGACTGACTGTCCCTGGATTAGATGGTACTTTCCTACACCTTGGACAAGCCTGACACAAGTGGGTATTTCCATAGTTCTTCAGGTAGTGAGGATCCTTTGGTGGTGGACCTTTGCTGGATTAGGAGGATCTCCTAGGGATAGACCTTTGCTGGATTAGGAGGATCTCCTAGGGATAGACCTTTGCTGGATTAGGAGGATCTCCTAGGGATAGACCTTTGCTGGATTAGGAGGATCTCCTAGGGATAGACCTTTGCTGGATTAGGAGGATCTCCTAGGGATAGACCTTTGCTGGATTAGGAGGATCTCCTAGGGATAGACCTTTGCTGGATTAGGAGGATCTCCTAGGGATAGACCTTTGCTGGATTAGGAGGATCTCCTAGGGATAGACCTTTGCTGGATTAGGAGGATCTCCTAGGGATAGACCTTTGCTGGATTAGGAGGATCTCCTAGGGATAGACCTTTGCTGGATTAGGAGGATCTCCTAGGGATAGACCTTTGCTGGATTAGGAGGATCTCCTAGGGATAGACCTTTGGATGGATTAGGATTAGGAGATCTTTGATGGTGGACCTTTGCTGGATTAGGAGGATTTTTTGGTGGTGGACCTTTGCTGGATTAGGAGGATCTTTTTATGGTGGATATTTGCTGGATTAGGAGGATCTTTTAGTGGTGGACCTTTGTTGGATAAGGTGGACTTTTGTTGGATAAGGTTGATCTCTTGGTGGTGGACCTTTTTGTTGGTTAAGGTGGATTCTTTGGTGGTGGACCTGTGCTGGATTAGGAGGATCTTTTGGTGGACTTTTGTTGGATAAGGTGGATCTCTTGGTGGTGGACCTTTGCTGGATTTGGAGGATCTTTTTATGGTGGATATTTGCTGGGATTTAGGAGGATCTTTTAGTGGTGGACCTTTGTTGGATAAGGTGGACCTTTGTTGGAATAAGGTGGATCTCTTGGTGGTGGACCTTTGCTGGATTAGGAGGATCTTTTGGTGGTGGACCTTTGTTGGATAAGGTGGATCTCTTGGTGGTGGACCTTTGCTGGATTAGGAGGATCTTTTGGTGGTGGACCTTTGTTGGATAAGGTGGATCTCTTGGTGGTGGACTTTTGTTGGATAATGTGGATCTCTTGGTGGTGGACCTTTGCTGGATTAGGAGGATCTTTTGGTGGACCTTTGCTGGATTAGGATGATCAATTGTGGTGTCTTTTAAATCTTTTGCATCCCAGCAAGACTGAAGATGAAATTAGTTGGGGGCTCCATGTGGTCTCGGGTTATAGGATTTATTTTTCTCTCCTCCATTACATTGTGTAAATGTCTCTTTGAAGACGAATTCCAGCTTCTTCAGAACATATATTTGCATGACTGTGTAAACATGTTTGTTGATTTTGTACCTGCTGAGGTCTTCTCCAATTGTGTGGATAGGATTCTCTGGTAAACCCAACAGTCCAATTAGGACAATAGTCAGAGAGCGGCATCAGGGGTGCCCCCATCCCTGCACAATGCTCCCAGATTGTGGCTTTGCACCCCGGCAGAGACGGCCTTTCTTGGAATGAACCTTAGAAGGACAATCAGGTGGTCTGCATGTTTCCGGCACACGTTCTGCAGCCTCTGTATAGCGGAGGATTGTCTGTATGAAGGGTTGTGTAGTAGAAAAGTATAAATATTCTCAAGGACAGAGGAATTCATGCTCGGCGGAAGCTGTAGGCTCACAATATTCTGACATCTTTTGATGTCTCCACAATGGAGATTCCTGCTACAAAGGAAACTGTACATGGCGGGGAAATCACACAATTCTCTGACGTGGTGTGGTCGGTGATCGGGACGTGATGACGTGCTGGAAGAGCAGATGTCAGCCCTGACTGTGCTGGTCTAGGAATGGTCACTTTGGCAGCATTGGGGTCCGGGGTTCAGTTCTCACCAGGGGCACCAACAATTAGAAATTTCTGTGATCTCTGTTTGTTGGTTTTTTTTATATTTTCAGCATTTTGTAGTTAGAGAAGACTCCGTATTGGTAGTGCAGTCAGCATCATTGCTGAAGGACTGCTGAGATAAAACAAGTCAAGCAGAGAGTATATTGGATCCAGTCTGCTTCAGTAGACCGATAGAGATGGCTAGAGAAGTCCAATCCAAACTCCGTTCCCCTGAAGGTTTAAACTAGGGGTCTCCAAACTTTCCAAAGGGACAGTTTATTGTCCTTTGGGGGGGTCAGACTGGGGCCAGTGGAAGTAGAAAATGCCCCGGTATCAGTGCCCCATCATTGATATCAATGAGAAGAATTGTGCCCCATTCATTGTATTAGTAAGGGGAATGGTGCCGCGTCATTGGTGGCCCCAAGGCCTAGGTGAAAGCAAGAAAAGGGCCACATCTGACCCCCAGAGCCCCAGTTTGGGGACCACTGGTTTAAACCAATCACTGACCCCTCTTCTCTACTTCAAGAGGTCTTCAGTCTTCTGGGGGTGAATGACACAATAGTGAGGTCATGCTGTAAGTTCAGAATGTCATGGACCCGCCCCTTTTGGGGGGTGTTACCACAGTGCCCTGCACCCTCAGTGTATTGATGCAGAATGTCATGACATCAGTGCTGCTCTCTACATCATGGAGGACTGTCCAACCTAGGGAAGAGGACCTGGCGTGTCACGTGACCTGCCTGAAGACGTCCAGACGGGGGAAGTATAATGTAAAGTAAATAATACACACGGGGTATCGGAGAGGGGGGGGGGTCCTCCGGAGGGAGGAGAACAGAATCTGAAGTGGTTGTCAAGGCTCATTCAATGCAAGAAGCTAAAAATAAAAAGCCTTCTGTGTGCAGCAGCCCCCCTAATACTTACCTGAGCCCAAAGCTCCACCCAGCGATGTGCATGAGAGCCTCGGCTCTCCAGGTACTCTCCCTCCTCACTGGCTGAGAAAGCAGTGGGAGCCATTGTCAATCACAGCCAGTGAGCCAATGAGGAGAGAGAGGTGGGGCCGAGACACGGCTCTGGGTGTGAATGGACATGCAGAGCAGTAGCTCGGGAGTGAGTCTGCTTGGGTGCCCCCATAGCCAGCTGCTTGCTGTGGGGGGTACTTGGCAGGAGGGAGGGGCCAGGAGTGCCAGTGGAGGACCTGAGACGAGGAGGATTACAGAGCCGGGAAGTAGAGACATGTTTACTAGGTAATAAAAAGCAGAATTACTGTACGACCGTAGGAAGTACAACATGTACATGTGAGCAGCAAATATACTCAGGACTACCAATAGGAACACGTTCTACAAACCATCATGAAAATGGATTATTGGTGAGCGAATCTCCAGAAATGTGTAACCTAGGTTTGGGTGAGAAGGGTTGGGACCCGTGTCATATGACTACACCGGTCACAGGAGCCCCCGTGTACCAGTCATGATCATCCAAATACATCATCTTACAGAGTATTCTATGAAAGCCGTCCCTCGTATTGTGATCTGAAGGATGTCCCTGAGGCGTCATATCCCGGCAAGCATGAAACACTTCCCTGGAGGATTCTCGAAAAGATCGAAATATTCAAAAGTGCACTAAAGCCGCATAGAGTCGGTTCCGGCGTGGAATTCCTCAGCAGAAGGCAAGGTGCCATGTTCCTGTGCAGGCCGCATCAATAGTGGATGGTCAGAGTTCATCATAGAAAGGATAGGAATGTTACAAATGAAAATCTCAGCTTTGAGTTTCTTCTGGAGGATAACGTGAGAGGACATCCCAGGGAAGGTTGTCTATCTTTCCTATTGTAGATCTAGATCTGTGACCATCGGTGCTGAACTGGCCATCCATGATTGATGCGTCCTGTATGGGGGGTGAAGAGCGTGCCTTGCCTTCTGCTGAAAGGTGCATTTCTGGATATTATCTATACCAGCCATTCTCACCCAAGCTCCTCCCAGAGGGTGCTGCTTGACCCCACTTCTGATGGTGGCTGCATAGATTTGGGGCCAAGGCCACTTGAAAGAGCCAACAGCATGTCACTAATGATATTTTTATCTGTCTATAGGGGGGTGTTCTGACCACCTCTGTTTGGTGGTTGGTGGGAAGAATGCTCCCCAATGTAAGGGACGCCCTTCCCACCAAAGTAAAGGTCATCCTTCCCACCAAACACCAAATGTAAAGGTCATCCTTCCCACCAAACACCAATGTAAAGGTCATCCTTCCCACTGACCCCCAATGTAAGGGTCATCCTTCCCACCAACCACCAATGTAAGGAACATTCTTCCCACTGACCCCCAATGTAAGGGACGTTCTTCCCACTGACCTCCAATGTAAGGGACGTTCTTCCCACTGACCCCCAATGTAAGGGACATTCTTCCCACTGACCCCCAATGTAAGGGATGTTCTTTCCACTGACCCCCCAATGTAAGGGACGTTCTTCCCACTGACCTCCAATGTAAGGGACATTCTTCCCACTGACCCCCAATGTAAGGGACGTTCTTCCCACTGAACCCCAAATGTAAGGGATGTTCCTCCCACTGACCCCCAATGTAAGGAACGTTCTTCCCACTGACCCCCAATGTAAGGGACATTCTTCCCACTGACCTCCAATGTAAGGGACATTCTTCCCACTGACCCCCAATGTAAGGGACATTCTTCCCACTGACCACCAATGTAAGGGACATTCTTCCCACTGACCCCCAATGTAAGGGACATTCCTTCCCACTGACCCCAATGTAAGGGACATTCTTCCCACCGACCACCAATGTAAGGGACATTCTTCCCACCGACCCCCAATGTAAGGGACATTCTTCCCACCGACCACCAATGTAAGGGACATTCTTCCCACCGACCCCCAATGTAAGGGACATTCTTCCCACCGACCACCAATGTAAGGGACATTCTTCCCACTGACCCCCAATGTAAGGGACATTCTTCCCACTGACCCCCAATGTAAGGGACATTCTTCCCACTGACCCCCCAATGTAAGGGACATTCTTCCCACTGACCCCCAATGTAAGGGACATTCTTCCCACTGACCCCAAATGTAAGGGACATTCTTCCCACTGACCCCCAATGTAAGGGACATTCTTCCCACCGACCCCCAATGTAAGGGACATTCTTCCCACTGACCCCCAATGTAAGGGACATTCTTCCCGCTGATCACCAATGTAAGGGACATTCTTCCCACCGACCCCCAATGTAAGGGACATTCTTCCCACTGACCCCCAATGTAAGGGACATTCTTCCCACCGACCCCAATGTAAGGGACGTTCTTCCCACTGACCCCAATGTAAGGGACATTCTTCCCACTGACCCCCCAATGTGAACAGCATTCTTCCCACCAAGCTCATCTACTCAGTGGAGCCCTTCTTCTCATTGTAGCCTGTCTCCTCGTTGGAACCCATTTCCTCACTGTAGCACATCTGATTGTAACCCATCTCAACAGAAGAGAGGCTACAACAAGGAGAGGGGCTCTGTCTTCTCATTGTAGTAGCCGTCTCCTCTCTGTAGCCCAAATCCTCATTGCAGGCCGTCTCCTCTTAGTAGTGTCATCCTTGTATCCCGTCTCATCCTTGTATCCCGTCTCATCCTTGTATCCCGTCTCATCCTTGTATCCCGTCTCATCCTTGTATCCCGTCTCCTCATTGTATCCCGTCTCCTCCTAGCTTTGTGTCTTCCATGGGACTTGTCCTCTTTGCCTCCCAGGCTGATGGTCTCTCTGCTGATTCCTCCTTCTTAGTAACCCTGAACTGACAGAGGATCTCAGCACCCGCTCTTCACCCGCTCTTCACCCGCTCTTCACCGCTCTCTTCACCCCTCATTAAATCAAACTGACCCCATCGGGAATTCCTCCCCAGGCTGTCACCAGCGGCTTCAGGTGTTCATCATCTTCTCACTGGGGGGGGGGATTGTTTATTCCATCATATCATTGTAATCTGTATTGATCCTGGTCTTCTATCGCTGTATTCTGTAATATATTCCTGGCAGAATCCTCGCAGGATATGAGACACAGAGGCGAAATGGCTTCATAATGAAGACATAACCCTGCAGCCAAGAAGAGTGCATGTATAGCCAAAGCCTATCCCTTCCCGACTCCACCCAAAACTAAGAGGCTTTATATACACGTAAAGGGCCAGTTGACAGTATGCGGTGCGTTCTTGTACTAAGAGTGCATCTGTAGCCCGTGTCTGTGTTCTGCCATGCGGGGGATCGCCAGTTCCTGGACCAGTGCGCTGCAGTTTATCGAATTATCGTACATTGCTGCGAGGCCAGAGAAGTGAAGAACAGGACTGGGCTTCTGGAAGAAGCTGAATATTTGGCCTCAGATTATTCTACAAACGTATCTTTGCTCCTTTTTAAGCTTTTCTTACATCTTGACTCCAATATCAGTACCTGGCCTCACAAATTCCAACACCATCCAAAATCTTGTGGAAAGCCTTCCTAGGAGAGTGGAGAATGTAATAGCCCCGCATAATAGAGATTTATGTTTTTTGGTTGTAACATGGCAAAATGTGGGAGGGTGCAAGGGGTATGAATACTTTTGAAAGGCTCTGTATCAGTATGCTGGTCAGGATTCACAAACCTTTGGCCTTCTAGTTGGGTGTCTATGTGATTTGTGATTTTTTTTGTTCTTCATTTTTATGGTGTCAGGCTTACATTGCCAATATAAATGCAAATCTTGCACAGCGGGTCTCTAAATCGACAGTTGACAGCCCTCATCTGAGGCCTCTGCAATGGTGAAGTACATACCTGGAACACCTGATACACAGAAATATGTCTTCCTGAAGATCTGCTGCCTCAGCAAAATCCCTTGAAAGATCATCATGGAGGCTGCAAACGTTGGAGGCTTCATTGCCGCACTGCCACCAGGCAGCATTAATCAAGGTGCTCATCTTCAGCTGACGCAAGTCCTCCACGGCCTACGTGACTGGAATTGTGAAGGCGCTCTACTGATGTCAATGCTGCGAGGGTCCGCTTCTCCCCTCGGAGACCATCGCTGGGAAGAAGAGTCGGGCTGTAATGGAATTTCTGTTAAACAGCAAAAAAAGAAAAAAAAAAAAAACCTGTAATTTTCAGCCTGCAGTTTGTAGACGGTGAGACCTTCTGGCCCACCGACGCTGAAGGAAATTACAGGCGAATCTTCAAAGCAGCAACTCAGCGGATCTGAAGGTAAAAAAAAAAAAGAAAAATTGGCTTTGTTAAGTCGTTTGGCAATTGATGTAAATGGAGTCTATAAGTGCCAAGAGTGGCCGGGGCCCCAACCATTTGTGTTTTTCTATAAATAGCCCGGGAGCCAGGGACCTGCAGAGAAAGCAGATTGTCTCAAGGAGAAATCTAATCTGTGATTGGCTCCTGTGCTGATGCTATTCTGCATATACAATGCCTGTGTGTCCCCCGAGAGCCCGGGGCCATTTCTGCAACAGAACGAGAAATAAAGTGCCTGTGCTGGAGAAACCTGCGAGGTACCTGGACCCTTCCGTTAAAGCAGAACTAGGGTCCGCCATGCTGACCTTTCCCTCAACGTTTTGACATCCCTCACCGACATCTTCTACCCAGCTTCCTCCAGATGTCCCATCCCCAAACCAGGAGCATTTATTGGGGGTTGACCCCTCATCTGTGACTATCCCATCCTCTACTCTTTTGGGAATTCTTTCCACAAGATTTTGAAGGCCACCAGACCCGTGATTGCTGTATCAGTGGCCAGCTGTAAACAGATCGTCGGGTTACCTCCAATCCATCACGTTTAGGTCTGGAAAATGGAGGAGAACAGCCGTTTTCTGTTTGTTTTCTGAATCTGAACAGTCTGAGTGGTAGGAGGATGGAAATGGATATACGTTCGTTTACATTCAGCTGCCCACCCATAGAGCTGCCTGGAGCTTCCAATCAGGTCCACCTAAAGATCTGACAACCCACGTGAAAGTCCGTTTACATTCAGCTGCCCACCCATAAAGCTGCCTGGAGCTTCCAATCAGATCCACCTGAAGAACTGACAACCCACGTGAAAGTCCGTTTACATTCAGCTGCCCACCCATAGAGCTGCCTGGAGCTTCCAATCAGATCCACCTGAAGAACTGACAACCCACACGTGAAAGTCCGTTTACATTCAGCTGCCCACCCATGGAGCTGCCTGAAGCTTCCAATCAGGTCCACCTGTAGAACTGACAACCCACGTGAAAGTCCGTTTACATTCAGCTGCCCACCCATGGAGCTGCCTGAAGCTTCCAATCAGATCCACCTGAAGAACTGACAACCCACGTGAAAGTCCGTTTACATTCAGCTGCCCACCCATAGAGCTGCCTGGAGCTTCCAATCAGATCCACCTGAAGATCTGACAACCCACGTGAAAGTCAGTTTACATTCAGCTGCCCCACCATGGAGCTGCCTGGAGCTTCCAATCAGATCCACCTGAAGAACTGACAACCCACGTGAAAGTCCGTTTACATTCAGCTGCCCACCCATGGAGCTGCCTGGAGCTTCCAATCAGATCCACCTGAAGAACTGACAACCCACGTGAAAGTCCGTTTACATTCAGCTGCCCACCCATGGAGCTGCCTGGAGCTTCCAATCAGGTCCACCTAAAGATCTGACAACTCACGTGAAAGTCTGTCTTTCCTTAATTCTTGACCCATCTACAGCACATAATAGGCTCTCCTCTTCCTATTCACTGTGAGGAGCAAAGAAAAGTTCCCGGTACTTCCAGTATGGTGAATCATGTGACTATAGTTTCTGCTCACATTGGTGGTTACCTGCAAAGCATCATCTGGGCCGGGCTCAAGGCTACCATACACAGCGTGAATTTCGGCTGATTCCTACGGGAACCGCTGACATTGCCAGCCATGGTTGCCACCATCAGTACCACCTGTTTAGTAGTAAAAAGTAGATTTTTCAGCAGACTTGTCAAAGGATCTGGGTGGAAAATTGTCAGCTGAACAGTGATTCCGTCCAATCACATGCAGCCATGGTTCCGGTAGTCTGACAACAGTGATTCCGTCCAATCACATGCAGCCATGGTTCCGGTAGTCTGACAACAGTGATTCCGTCCAATCACATGCAGTCATGGTTCCGGTAGTCTGACAACAGTGATTCCGTCCAATCACATGCAGTCATGGTTCCGGTAGTCTGACAACAGTGATTCCATCCAATCACATGCAGCCATGGTTCCGGTAGTCTGACAACAGTGATTCCGTCCAATCACATGCAGCCATGGTTCCGGTAGTCTGACAACAGTGATTCCGTCCAATCACATGCAGTCATGGTTCCGGTAGTCTGACAACAGTGATTCCGTCCAATCACATGCAGTCATGGTTGCGGTAGTCTGACAACAGTGATTCCGTCCAATCACATGCAGCCATGGTTCCGGTAGTCTGACAACAACAGTGATTCCATCCAATCACATGCAGCCATGGTTGCGGTAGTCTGACAGCCGCAGATGAAGCTGTCGGAATACTTTAGGGCACATTTAGTGTGGAGGATCCTGTTAGATTTCTTTCTTTCTGCCCTCAGGAAACCTATAGGGACTTGTTTACACTGGCAGCAGACCTTGGCGAGTCCTCTGCAGTGGATTGCTTTTCAGAGGGAGGTTGACAGGTGACTGGGAGGTGATATGTCACCTCTTTACCTTCTGTTTTAATCCTGAAAAGACGGCTCCGCAACTGGCTGCATTGCATGCGGATGTGGCACGTCTATTCACTTGAATGGGTTGCATTCGGCAGTACTGGCCACCAAATGCATCAGGGCGACTTGGTGTGCCCTCAAGGTGGGCGCTCAAGGCGGAGTCAAACTGCCTTTCAACTGCCTATTGTTACCGCCTCCCTGGCTGCATATGTGAAGGAGCCCTAAAAGATAAAATAAAACCAACGTTTGCTGCAAAATTCACCTTCAATCCAGAGGATTCCCCCGCGGTGCTTC